TGGATGCTCCAGGTGAAATCAGGCACAAAGCTTGCAAGCACAGTTCCAGGGCTGAGTGACCACAGGGCTGGGCTGAGGATGTCGCCCTTCCTTTCCCAGCCAGGCCCAGTGCAAAGCTCCTGAGCCTCCACCCACAGTTTCCGGAGCCAGAGGCTCAGACTGCTCCACTTTTGGGCTCCTGGGGATCAGGGCTCAGTTTTCTTGAGCTGCTGGTACATCTTTTGGTGCAAAACCAGTGACAGATGCTCCTCAACTTATAAAGGGGCTGCATCCTAGTGAGCCTATCATAAGTTGAAAATATCCTAAGTGTAAGATTCATTCAATACACTTAATCTATTAAACATCATAAGTAGTCTATCTTACCTTTAATGTGTTCAGAACACTTACATCAAACTATAGTTGGACAAAAGACTCTAACACAAAGCCTATTTTATAATAAACTGCTGAACACTTTATGTATTATTGAACACCTGAATCCAAAAACTGCTGGAAACACACCACATAATATCAGTTGCTTCCCCTTGTGATCGTGGGGCTGCCTGGGAGCTTGGGCTCACTGCTACTGCCTAGCATCTCGAGAGGGAATTGTACCTCCTATCACTAGCCTGGGAAAACATCCAAATACAAAATTCCAAGTACGGTCCTTCTGGATGCATTCCTCTTCTTACCACTGTGAAGTCAAGCCATACTAAATCAAGCCATTGTAAGTTGGGACCCATACGTACAGCAAGCAAGAAAAATACAATGTCAGGCTTCAGGGAGCTTGAAGGAGAGGGGACAGCACACGAACCAATGATGTAAATTACTGTGTCCATGTAACAGAGATCAGTGGTCAGAGATAAAGGACCATAATCTTTTGAGAATGTCAAAAAGAAGACAGAGCAAGGCACCCCTGAGGAGCTGATCTTTGAGCAGAGATACGAAGGATGGGCAGGAGGGGCTGAGGTAGGGGAGGAGGCTGAGGTGAGGCTGGGACAGAGAGGTGGAAGGAGTCAAAGGGATACATTAACCTTCTTCTCCGGTGGCATTAGAAAGCTACTGGAGAGACGTAAGCAGAAGTGGAGTGACCCATATTTTTATAGATGGCCACTGGCTGCTGTGTAGAGAACACACAGGAGGAGCGTGTGTCGGGGGAAGGTAGTATGGCATGCAATAAGCATGTTGCTGTGGATCAGGCTGGAGGAAGTTTGAAGGGGGGGACAGAGTTTGGAAACAGGTGTATCCATTTGAGAGAGCACTAGAGGATGAAATCAACAGAGCACAGTGATAAACTGAATATAAGAATGAGGGAAGGGGAAGGGGTCATTACTGACTACCAGAGTTCTGGTTTGCAAAGCCGGGTGCTAATGGTGCCTTCTGATTCACTTACCATTGGATCTACTCACTCAATAAACTTGAAGATACACAGTACCCTGCTGTTCATCACAGGCACAGTGTTGTATAGCATACGTCTAGGATGTTTTCATCTAGCATGACTAAAGCTTTACACAATTTTAATTTACAAAATGTATTTTAAAGCTACTATAAAGATTTTTTGAAAAGACATAGGAACCAAAGAAAGTATGAAGAGAGACCTGAATGACAGGCATCATCCAACCGGGGTACAGGTCGGACAGCATGGCGCCCAACAAACTGCACTTCAGGGCAGGTTGTAGTGTGGAGATAGATGAATGAGGTAGAAAATAGAAGAAACGGTCGGTTAGTCAGCTGTCTGTTACTGTAACAATACCAGAAACCATCAGCTTGTAAAGAGGAGAGTTCCAGTTTTTAGAAGTGTTGGTCCATGGAGGATTAGCTCTTCTGCCCTTGGGCCTGTGGTAAGGCAGTACACCATGTGGTAGAGTGAGCTACTTACCTCATCGTGATGGCTGGGAAGTGGAGAGAGGAAGACGAAGGGCTAGGTTCCCTCAACCTGCTTCAAACACATGCTCCCAGTGACCTACCTTCCTCCCCTAGGCTCTACTCCCTAATGGCTTTTCCTAATATTGCCGTGCTGGGGATCAAGTTGTTTAACAACTGGGCCTTTGTGGTGTATGTAAGATTCAAACTAAAGTAGACAGTATCTTCAGCCTCCATGAGTCTCCTCTACCCTTGCTTTCCATTTCTTTGCTAGAATGTTCTGACTCAGACTTTCACTTGACTACCTCCTCTTTTTTACTCAGGTCTCAATGTCTATGTCCCCTCCCCAGAGAAAAATTCCTATGACCACACTGTCAGGGTCTACTTACTCCCACTTTTTCTCCTCAGCCTGTTCCTTGACTTTATAATATCTACTATTACAAACCCCTTCATCACCACCTTATCCAGTGGAGGATGTCCTTATTTGTGCTTGGCTGCTTTCCTGGGAGAATGTTCTAGAATGGAGGAGTTTTTATCTGTTTTGATCATGTCCTTCTTCCTGCTGTCTGGAGCGGCACCCAGGAGGTGCTCAATGGCTAGCTGTTGAGTGAACGAGTGGAAGAATGCTGCCTTCATAGACTGTGTGGGAAACATGCTTCGCACACCACCCCAGGCCTTTTCCACATTGGACATCATTCTCCGGATATCCCCTTTCCCCCTCCCGACTGAGCGGGTGTGTCTGCCTCCTCCTCCAGCAGCCTGTATGGCCATGAGGCAGCCACACCCACTCCGCACCCAGGCAGGCCAGTCTCTTCCCACACACTGGCTTTCCCAGGACCCAGCCTCCTTTCCTTTCATTCTGTTGCAGAGAACCAGAAAACAGCTGCTCTAGTCTTGACTTTGGCTGGCACCTGCTGCCAGTCCTTAGGCTGGTTACCAAGGCGGGACCCAGACAGCAACCACACCTTTCCCGGTGGTTGGGAGATGGCTGCGGGCAGCTACAATGGGCCTTTCTTCTCTATTCCCAGTGGATGAGCTCTAGAAGGGGAGGGCTTCTGTTCCAGAATGATTTACTTGAGGCTTTTGGATTTTGTGAGGTTCTTATGTACATGGATTCTGAGCAAACTTCTAAATGAAAATGTGCATATGTGAATTAGTCTGGGTCTTAAGTTCTCTAATAATTCTAATAATGTTACAGGTATGAACTTGCTATCAGTTGCCAAAATGTTGCATTTTGCTGTTGCTGTTGTTGAAAAGTAGATAACTCTTGGCCAGGCGTGGTTGTGCACCCCCTTAATCCCAGCACTCGGGAGGCTGAGGCAGGAGGGTTGCTGAGAGTTCAAGGCCAGCCTGGGCTACAAAGTGAGTTCAAGGTCAGCCTGAAATATGTAGCCTGTCTCAAAAAGACAAAAACAAAACAAAACAAAACCCAAAAATAGACATCTCTCCACCTCCAAATACTTAGAACTTGTGAATAGTTTACATGGCAAAGGAATTTTGCAGATGTGACTTAGAGGCTGAACTGCATTTCTGCTAAATTCATGTGTTGAAGTCCCAACCCCCAGCAGCTCAGAATGTGGCTGCATTTGAAGGCAGGTTTTCTAATATGGTAATTAATTAAGTTAAAAGGAGGCTAGGGGGGTAGGCTGTAATCCAGCCTGACTGATGTTCCTCTAGTAAAATAAAGTTAAGACACAGACCTGCACAGAGGAAGGGCCACATGAACATGGAGGAGGTGGCATCTACAAGCCAAAGAGAGAGACCTCAGAAGAAGTCAAAACTGCTGGCACCTTAGTTTGGACTTCCAGCCTGCAAAACTGTGAAAAAATAAATTTCTCCTGTTTGAGCCACCTAGTCTCTGGTACTTGGTGACAGCAGCCCTAGCAAACTCATACAAGGGTCTTGAGATTGGGAGATTATCATGGATTATCCATGGGAACCAATACAAGCTCTCACTATAAGAACCCACAATAATAGTCTTTGTAGGTGAAAGTATTGAATAGCCCAGTATAATAGTCTTTGTAGGTGAAAGAGTCAAGATGCTCAGAGAAGGAGATGATAAGAGCCTAGACTTTTAGATGGCTGGTTTGAGATGGAAGGAGGTCACTAACCAAGGAATGCAGGCAACCTTTACTGGCTGGAAAGAGCAAGGAAAGGCTTGTTCCCTGGATTCCCCAGGAGGAATGGCACCCTCACTACTCCTTGTGTTTAGTCTTCTGAGCTTCTCTTTGTATTCTAACCTCCAGATCAGTAAGATAATAAATGTGTGTACCTTTAAGCTACTTAATTGATGTTGATTTTTTTTTTCTACCACATTGGGAAGCTAACATAGTGGTTGGTAGATATTAACTACTTGGGGATGGTTTTGGGGGCCCATCACCACACAGAGAAGAGATGAGGCCACTGTGTGAAAGAAACCATGCAGGGAAGTGTTTAAGGAAGAATCTTCATTGAGACCAACATTTCTGGAGAAGGCACTGCTATTTCTTTCATGGCCATGTCCCAGAACAGTGTAGGGGAACCACTGGCAACCTCCCCAGCACACACCTCCAATGAGGCACCTCTCCAGGACCGCTGAAGAAAGACTATGATGAAAAGATTACAGAGAAAGGATGAAAAGCAAGACTGAGAAACAGGAGAGTGACAATAGTCTGAGGGGTGTTGTTTTTGACAGACTGGCCACCTGCCTCTAACCATTGGTCTGCTCCCTTTTCCTGCACCTCGGCCCTGGTGTGAAAGCCCAGCCGCTACTCCAGATGACCAGAGAGGCAGGTTGGGGCCAGAATGGCTTGGGTGCCATTCTCTGAGAATTTCTGCTTCCCTCTGTCGGGATGAGACCGTATCACACCGATGCTTTCTTCATCTTTCTGCTCTGGGGACCAGGCTGGCTGCTTTCTGAGATAAGGGTTCACACCTGCATCACTGCAGCCCCAGTGCTGATGTCTGGCACAGGGCAGGTGCCCAGGGAACTGATATGCCAGGCTAACAGGGCTACGCCTTCTGAAGGAATGAGTCCAGAGGCCACATTTGCAGAGGGGGTCAGAAAAGGGGAAGATCCTGGGACACGGCTGTTGCCAGGACAGAACCACATTTCCCTCCTCCTGCTCAGGTCTTCCCCCACAGCCCCACAAGAGAAAGACCATGGTTTACACAGTTTTTCGTTTATTGAAGATGAGCCCAACTTAGTTTATGTGATTACCTGAGGGGCCACTGGCAAGTGCCTCTCTCTCCCTCTTTGCAACTGTTTCAGTGGTTTTGCCAGAAGACCTTGCAGAGCAGAAGGAGGTGTGACCTTTGGTGAAACTTCCTTCTCCTTGCAGCAGGAGACCTGTACTGGGAGGTGGCCTGGGTCCCTCTATCAGCACCTGCAGGCCATGGGGGAAGCAAGCACAGTCCTGCACACACAGAAAGTCTTCTGGGACTTGGGGAGCCTTGTGCAGGTTCTGGCTGGCTGATGGATAGAGGCTGTGTGTGAGTCTGCACAGGAGAAGACTTCCAACAGGAGCCGGGTAACCCTGCAGGTGCTCAGAGCACAAGCGCTAGGCTCTGGGCTGAGGGACAAAGGTAAGGCCCTGATGGAGAATTCTTTACTTAGATTTGCACTGGGAGCTTCTCTCCGGGATCTGAGACATCAGTAAGCTGAATCTGGAGCAGCTGCCTGCCTTGCCTACACCAGTGATTCATTTTTGGAAGTTTTTTTTTTCTGTGTCCCTTGTTTGGTTGCAAAATTGGGCTTGTCAAAGAGTCAGAGGCTGGTCTCCAGAAAACATGCAGGCAGCATTCTGGGAGAAAGGAATATAGCAACATGGTGGGGCACATTAGAGGAGAGGAGAACTAGTTGATAGTTTGGAACAGAATGAAAACAGAGCGGACATTGTTAAATAGAACACAACTCCATATGACATAGATTCCTTTAAGGTTCAGATGGGTTTAAATTTTCCAAAACAGTACCTGTGGGGAGTGGGACAGGCACTACAACCCAGGGAGCTGAAGATGGAGATTCTGGTCCTGTCCTCTGATCCATGGGGACTGTTGGGGTCATTGCAGGGGCCACTTTGCTGCAGAACTGCGGCAGCCAATCTTCCTGCACTTAGGGATTAGGCCAGTTCTTAGGCTTTTATGGGGCAATCGGCGTTGGCAAAAGTCTCTGCTGTGTCTTGTCTCGGGGTGATCCTGTCATGTTCCAGGGCCCACACTCCTGTGAGGGATCCTGTGGGAATGATGCTTGGGGATCTTTCCTTGTAAGCTTTTCCTCCTTTTTCTCTGCTTAGAACCTAACTTGAGGAAAAGGGAATAGGGGCAGGTACTTTTGGAGACTGCAACAGGATTCCAAAACTTGGACATCTTCTAGAGTTGTGGGTGTCTCCAAATTTTCTCCTATTAAGACACACCTGATAGCAACATCCGCCAAGGTCCTCCATCCACACCTGTGCCCAGACTACAGCTTTCAGATGGATGAGAAGAAGAGTAGGGGGTGTGAGTTCCGGTATGCTAGCTGGGAGCCTATGGTGTGTGCTCCCACTTAAGGAGTTGTGAGCATAGTATTAAAGGGCTGATCTTCAGTCTGTACTCACCTCAGAAGAAAGGGAAATGATCCGCAAGCCCTGCTGCTTGAGTCACCAGAGCTTGATTGGTGATGCAGCACTTGCAGCAACCCTAAGACTGATCCTGATGTGCCCATGTGTAGGGGACTGGGAGGCTGGGGAGTACCTGCTACACTGACATGACTCTCAAGGATGGACACGGTCATCTTAGGTGGGCCTGAGAGGCCATGGGTACTCTAGGCCCTGGTTTCTTAGGTAGGGAGGCAAGGGGTATCTCCAGGAAACAGGTATTATCTCTAAGTAACTTCTCACAATGCAGCAAACAAGGGTGGATTCTGACTCTGCATATGGAACTGTTCTGAGGGATGGAGGTTCCTGGAGGCCTGTTGGAGAGAGGTTGCCAGGGTGAGGGGGGAGGCCTGGAAAGGCTGAGAAGTCAAAGGCAGGAATCTCTCTCCCAGGAATCTCTCTCACATAACACACTTTTGGTTGTTAGGGGAAGTTTTGGGAGCACTGACCTCATGGATATTCTACTTGGTGGACCTTTAGGAGTCCCCACCTCAGCCTCCATGGAAAGCCACAGAGTGCCCCAGGAAAAGCTGCATGAGGCACGTAGAGCCACTGGTGTGAAGCAGGGCAAGAGGGGATGAAATAGAACATCTTGGAGTTCAGGGAAGAGGTCACGACAATTCCTAATTTTATCATGTCCTCTCTTTCCCCTGAGCTTCTGTGTATGCAAGGCTGTTCCTGCTGTTTCTGGTATATTCCCTTTCCCCTCTTTGCTAACTCTTACCTTTCCTTTTGTACTCAGTTTGGATGACACAGCTGCCCAGAAACTCTCCATCCCTTTCAAGTTTGAGTTGGACATCTGTGTTCCCACAACCCCCACAATAACTCAGCCCAGGATTTTCCAGTTGCCATGAGAAAAGGGACTGTGTCTGGCCTGCTCTTCCCCCAGGACCCAGCCAAGAGCAGGGCCCTTCCTCAGATTTGTTGGTTTGGTGGGCAAGGGCAGGGATAACAGAGGTTGGAATTTTAAAAATGAATCCGTTCATTGGAAACTTATAAACCACAGAATGTAGGGTTTGACCTTTTAAGTTTGGGCGTTGATGGAAACGAAGAGAGAATACTCACACAGAATCCCTTTGCAGCTTTCCAGCTTGCTGTTCTAGATACAGGGGTAGTGGTAGAGGGGAGACGGAAGGAGGAAGTTAAGACAACATGCATTTATGCTTCTCTAATTGCCAAGGAAAAAGCAGCCAGTGAAGAGGAGGTTTGCAGGTCAAAGGGAAAGCATGATACCCCACCCCTAGCCTACCCCATTGCCTATGCTGTGAGTAACACAGACTCTGAAATGAAGCTTCTTTAGCCACCAGACTCCCAAGGCCATGTCCAGGGAGATGTGCCACATTGGAGAGTGCTCTCCCAACCTCTCTTCATTGTTCAGTTTTTGGAATGTTTGATACTTGTAAATTTTGATACTTGTGATTCTCTGGTGTCTTGAAATGTAAGCCAATATCTCACTGGCTACGGGGGCTAGGGTTGTCCAACCCATTGGGATCAGAGCACAGCCTTCCTTCTCCTCTGTAAAGAACCTCTATTGGTCAGTTTTGGTTTCAGAAGGATGTAAATGTGGAACTCATTTCAGACACCCAGATGTATAAACATGAGGTTCTTGGAGCATTGTTCACTCTGGAGGAGTTTCGCAGCATGCACTGCACTAGGCTGAGAGTTCCATGAGTGATGACTAGACACAGGAGCACAGGATGAGAGCAACAAGAGGATCTAAGGGACTCCTCAGTGGAACAGAAACTGCAAGATTCAGTCAGCAACATTCCCAGGTTGCACGGGGTAAGATGAGAGTTTGCCTGCACTTGGTTTTCTGGCACCACACGGGGAAGGTGGGGATGTCGGATATTGGTCATCATGTCTCCTTCTTCTGGCCAAGCTGCTATCAGCGATTCAGGAGGAAGAACTTGAGGCTTTGAAAGAAATTCGACTTTTGCCTCTGCTTGTGCTTCTTTTTGATGATGGGCACCCACACCAGCCCACACACCAGGGTCATCAATCCCAAGGACAGAAAAGCAGGCCCTGTCATTTTGAGGGCATCAATGGTCTTTTTACTCATTTGTAGGAGATAGGCCAAGCAGGTAATGACCACACCAAAGAGCAGGATGGCAGTGCCCACAGACATGATGACGATGGGCTTGCGATAGATCTCCCAGTTGCTTCTGGGGGTGGTGGTCCAGACGGACTCACTTCTGGAGCTGATGCAGAGGGAGCTGGCAGTCTGGCTGGGCAGCAGGTCTTTGGATTCTGGGGACTTCTCATCGACTTCTAGGACTTTAGGGAGCTCCTCCATCGTCATGGATGTTCAGGATCAGGCGCCTAGCACTGGTGACAGAATCAAGGGTGAGGCCAGAAGGAATCTTTGTGCCCTTTGTGTATTCAGCATCTGCCTCCGGCCTAGCTCTCAGTGGAGGGTAATACAGGGTTTCTGTGCTGAAGCTAAAAGGAAAACCAGATAAAACCCACATAAGTAACACATCATCCAAGCCGATAGAGTTGCTTTTTCTCATAAGACTTAAATATTATGTCATTCTAATCAACCGATTTTCTTATTTAAACCAAGGAGTAGTAGTGCCATTTTAAAAGGAAGTAACAGCTACAGTTTATTGAGTGACATTTCATTTTCAGACTCAAGCTCATGCTCGATGTACTGTATGTTTTTCCTGAATGTATTCACTGGAAATGAATTCTAGCTTTATTATAAATTTGAAGCCCTTATGTGTCATGAAAATATCAATGTCAAAACACTGTACGTGTCCAAAAGATAGGTTTGCAAAGACTGTCAAGCAAACCAAAACAAGTATTCAGGAAAGTATTTAGAAGATAAGGAAATTTGTATTTAGCCAAATTGTACGGAATGACACTCAAGCAACTGGAGGAACCAAAATGCTCAAGAAAGGCAAAATGATGAATGAAACACCGGCTCAACCTCAGTGATATAGAACCAAAACTTGAAAATTATTAGCACACAATTACCTCGTAACTGTCACTGACTAGGTCTTTAAATGAATTATGTGATCCCGAGGGACTTACTTCTCCTCTCTGTGCCTTCTTTTTCTTATATATAAAAAGAGGACACTGATAATGCTGCTTTGCTCACAGGGGCTTTGAAAGAGTTAAAGTTTAGACATGCGATGCATTAGGTCAAGATGACTAGCATATTGTAAGTCTTCCATAAATGATATCACTTCCCTCTTGGAGGCGTGATATTTTATACATAAGTGCGTGTGCATGTGTGTGTGTGTTTGCCAGGCACTGCATTAAACTCTATCAAGTTGTGAAGTTTCACAGACAGAAATCTAGGGCTTTAGCCCAGTTTTACGGACAGAAATCTAGGGCCCAAAGAGGTGAAGATCTTGTTTAAGAGCACAGGATAAGGAACTGTCAGAACATGAATTTTCCTTTGCACTTGGAACTCCAGGCTGTGTGGCAGCTGGGAACATTGTTTAGTGCAGCCTGGGATTTTGAGGGCTTTGTAGACACAGGACACCTTCCAGTGATAGCAATGGAAAATAGACTAATACACCATTCATAGTCCTGTAAAGGAATGGAATCTAGCTCAGCTGCTGCCTCTTCCAATTTCCCATCTAGAGCTCTCTACCCAACTCTCAGTCGCTGGGGCTCCCTTGTCTCAGGGGATATCAACGGTCATCTGTGTGGAGCAATTCATAGCTGCTTAGAGGCACCACTTGTCTCCCCAAAACTTCTCTACCAAACCTGTGCCTTCTTGAACTCTTTTAACATGAGGTTAAACCCTTTATTTGATAATTAGAAATACAAGTTCAAGTGCACTGCCTATGCATACAAGGTAATAAGATGTGGATGACTGTATTAGGTACATTGCTGGAGACAGGTTTTGTTTGGGAGGAAGGAAAGACCGAGAAGGTCCAGATCCCTGCCCAGAGGTTTTCCCCAAGTCACTTCTTTGACTGATATCTGATCTGTTGTCAGGTGTCTAGCACAGTGCTTCACACCCATGAGATTCTGCGTATCTTTGAATGAGTAAGTGAATGAACAACTTCACTCACTTCCTCTCCTTTGCACTGGTCACTTAGGACACACTTAGGACCCGCCCCACCTGTGCAAGCTACATTTCCCCTTGCAGGAGCCCCCTGCCTCCTTTGCAATAATCCCAGGCCCCACTCACATCACCATTTAGAGATATGCCTATCTGGGAGTGAGATTCTAGAGATTTCTTTCCACAGCCAAGTTTATTAAGGAAGGAGAGCTAGTTTACACATTCAGAATAAATCCCCCTCCCCGCTCCTGGCTACAGGGCTGGAGTCAGACTCAAATATAGAGGGGGTTGCATTTTTGGAAACCAAGTTACTAGCTCCAGAGCAAAAAGAGAAATTAGGGTAAAGAAGGTGAGGATGCATGGAACTGGCGAACCCCAGCCCTTGATGACACCTGCCCCTCCCTCCTAACCAAGGCACTTACTTCAACACTTATTGAAGTGTCTTCAACACTTCTTATGATTTTAGTTTCAACTTAATCTTTTCAACTTTCCCCACTGCACCCTTGGCCACTCAGTCCTGACCCCTGTGTTCATTTCCCACCATCCCCATAGCAAAATGCTCCAGTCTGTAATGAGCAGTTACAGATAACCAGTGCTTCCAGAAGTTAGACATTCACATTCAGATACACTCATCTAAAGAGAGAATAGGTGGCTCTCTGCTACCAAAAGTTTTTGTAAAACTTTGCTGCCTTTTTTTCCAGGGGTATATTTGCATAAATTATGTTGTCATATAAAAAGCAGTCTCTCTTGTGAGCACGGGTAGTGGGAAGGGATCACAGAGTGTGTTAGGAAGCCTGGAGTTCCTTATTGCAACTCACTATCAAGTGAGGAAGCTAGGTCATCTTCAGCAGGGTCTCTATTCCTGGGCTGCTGTGTCTAGCACGTGGCAGTAAAGACCCAGGAAGACATTGTGGAGGAGTGGGGATGAACAATTCTTAGCTGGGCCCGAGAAGAGAGCCGGGCTAGGTGGGAAAGGCTTGCTCTGTCAGTGGCCCTGGCCCTCTGAGTGTGAGCAGCCTCCAGCCTCCAAAACAGGAAGTGTCCACTGGCTGTAGGGTCTCCACTGGGGCCATGGGCGCCTGGGTTCTGAGAGTGTCAGTAAGACTCTGGTGTGTGTGAGTGTGTGCTAAAGGCAGAGGCACTGTCGGTATTTTGGAGTGGATAATTAATTGCCTGAAGAATTGTAGGATGTTTGTGTAGGCAGATAGGTAGCAACATCCCTGGCTTCTACCTTCTCGAAGCCAAACACACCCCACCCATAATAGTTAAGAAAAAAGTCACCATATATTACCAAATATCCCCTGGGGGCAAAATCACCCGCGTGGAGAACCACTGCTCCTTCACAGCCTTTTCTTCCCTCTTGGTAGGCAAACTGCCTCAGGGTAGAGGCTGGGTTTCCCTTGTCCCAGCCCACAGCACCTGGCTCACAGCCTGGCACTTAGCAGGTGCCCACAGGACCCAGCCCCAATGCTGTGGCTCGGTGAGGGGAAGAGGTGACACCTGGGAGCCAGTCCAGTTAGAACCACTTTTTACACTTCGGTTAGGTTACCGGGGTTTGGTACGTGCATCTCAGGGCATCCTTCACCCACTGTGGTATATCGATGCTCTCTAAGAGATGTGTCTAGCCAGAACTTCAGAATGTGACCTTCCTGGGAACAAAGGTCATTGTAGGTAGAATTAAGATAAGGTTCTTGAAAATGAAAGGTGGAGGAGGGGAAAGAGGGACCGAATGGAGATGGGAAGGGGATCTAGGGATGGGGGATGGGAGGGAGTAAGGGGAAGGAGAAATAAAAAGGAGCAAGATGGGATATGAATAGGGACCACTCCTCCATGATGAAAGTGTTTATTATGTATTGCAAACATACACTAATAAAAAGGGGAAAATAATAAAGAAATACCATTAAATTTTTAAAAGTACACAAATACAATTCTCTGCTTTAAAAAAAAGACAAGGCTCTTGTGGTGAGATCACCCTTGGCCAGGGTGGGTCCTAAGACCAATAACTGCCAGTCTCACTATGGAAAGGGGCAGTCAGCCCCGGAGGGAAGGACTAGATGAAGCGGACGCAGAGGCTGAAGCAACGCTACCCAAAAAGTTGCCAGCAAATCTGGGAGACGGGCGTGGACTGGATTCTCCCTCTGAACCTCCAGAGGAAACCAACGCACCTGACACCTTGGCTTTGCACTTCCAGCTTGTAAGAAATGTTTGAGGATAAGCTTCTGATATTTTGAGTTACTAAATTTGTGGTAATTGTTTTATGGCAGTCCTTGATAAAATGCATGCACCCAGCTTCCTTTTAAGGTCTCCAGAGGAGAGGACCCAAGAGAGGCCAGGCTTGTGAAGGGCTGGAGGATCTGAGCCTCCTGAACTAACCAGGATTTGAATGGGAGCTGGCCTTCAGGGCAGCAGTTTGAGAAGGGCTCAAACTGTCCTCCCAGCCCCCATCCCCATAGGCTGATGTAGGTCATAGGTCATAGGTCATAGGTCATGTAGGTCATAGGTCAGGGAGCTGGTTTGGCGGGTGGGGATTCATTTAGATAAAGAACCAGGGACAGGCAAGATACAGGCTGGCACCATGAAAAATGCCTGATCTGGAACTATACATAGCAGCGAGAATAAACTCCACTCAGGAATCTCACAAATGAGCCAGACACAAAAAGAATACACGTCATATGATTCCATTTACACAATTTAAAACATGCAAAGCAGTCTATGCTAGGAGAGGTCAGGATAGCGGCTGCCTTGGGTGAGTGCAGGGTACAGTGTGGACTCAGGGTGCTGCCAACATTCTAGTCCCCGACCTGGCAGCTGGTTCCACAGGTGTGTAGGAGTGAAGCAGTACACTGTGGCGTGACTTTCTGGGTGAGCATTCAGTGTCCATAAAATGCTTAAGTCAAGAAAACTAAAAGCTATAGCTAAATGCAATGTGTTCCTTTCTTTGGATTCTGATTGGATCAAAGCAATTGTATGAAGACATTTGAGGTAACCAGGGGAATTTGGTCACAAATTTGAACACAAATTGGGTGAGTCTCAGTTTTAGCATAAACTATAATCCCTTTCTGTTCTTCCTCTTTCACAAATAGCTCGATCCCCAGAGATCTGTAATTCCCGTCCTCCAGCCAGCATGGCTTTACCCAGCTGGCTCTTGTCCTTCAGAGTGAACAAACTGCAGCCACTTTAGTGCAAGAAGATGAGTTGGGGTGCACTTCTGAAAGGGGTGGAGGAAGCAAGGTGGTGTCTACCTTCTGTTTCAGTGGCTTCTTCCATTGCTTTACTGTTTTAATTTGCTTATTTAACTGAAGACATTAGAAACATGTTTTGATTGACAGATAAGAGGTGCATGGCCTACAGCATGGTGCTTTGATCCAGGTGTATAGTCAGAGCTCTGCACCTTCAGTATTTACAAGAATCAGTTCCCCAC